GCCTGCCACCGCGCTGTCACAATGAGGACACTCGCGGAGGGCCAATAGGGAACAGTGACTACTGGCCCTTAAATAGCGAGACTGGGAGCAGAAGGGCATTCTGCTGCTGGGGACACAGAACAAGCTGCGGAGACGAGACCGACGACAGAACACAAGCTACTGACGGACACAGAGGACCAAGCTGCCGGAAACGCAGAAGACAGAGCGTATTTGCAAGCAGCACTAGTGACAGTGAAGTACTGCCTGCTACCCTGTTCTGCTTTCTCTTCCTAACACGCAAATGGGGGATATAAACAGTGTTGACACAGGAACACACAAGGTTATAACAATTGGCGACGCAGGTGATCGCTGCAGACACAAGGTTTCAAGCTTATTCTGGCCCCACTAAGCCAATTATAAGCTTGACCGTTAGCACTCAACGAGCTGCAGTTTATTTTTTGCTGCCAAATTGTCAACTTGATCTATAAATGTACATATCCTTTGTTAGTGTCGTACCTTTGAAGTCACTTTTTTTGTTTACCTGAAACAAACTCCCTATTTCGCCCACTATTGACCAAGCACAAAACTAAAGCAAGACCAATACTGATGGCGAAAAAGGGAGTTTGTTTTAGGCTTTTTCCTGTCTTCGAGGTTTTGGAAGGCGTACAAAAGGTGTTTTACGAATCAACCCAATATTCGTATTGCCTCTGGACCGGCAATAAATAAATAAATTAGTAGATAGGCGTACACCGATCAGTTGCAGAGCAAACTCGCCCTTGTGTTCGTGCACTCACGAACGTTGCCACGAGGGTAATTATAATGTTACTCACTGTGTTTCAGTAACATTTTAATTATTTTTAGGACAAACCAGGGCAGATGTGCCCTGTAAGTGATCGGTGTACACCTATCTACTAATGTACAGTCCCGATCAACAACCAGCAGGACGTCAGGCCCGTTAGCTCAATGGTTAGGGCGTTTGTGTCTGACCGGAGAGACGCGGATTCGAAACTCGAGTGTGGCGTTAATTTTCGCTGCTACACTGGAGTAGGGTATCTCTAGCTGACGACAGCAAATGAGCCAGAAAAGGCCTTCCTGGAGTCTCTGTCTTGACGGTAAACTGTCCTAAAAATAAACAAATAGGCACCTGGGAACAGTAATGCAAAGATGTGCATGTACACGACGGACGGTGTGTGTCATAAACACTTAATCGAACCAAACAAACTAGTACGACATGAAGGGGGGCGGGGAGAGTGGTCCATTCGTGAGTTCCGCCATTTATACGGAGCTTATTGATGAACGTTTTCTGATCGCCACACGTCCTGTTCTGTCTTGGGGCTCATTTTCGAGGCCAACCAGCAGCGGCTAGGCGGAGAAAACATTACCGGTAAAGGCAAGGAATATGGGAATGACCATTTACAGCTTATTAGCGTTAATCAGCCAGCCACGCGCAACTCCAGGAGGTGCGTCATTTGAAGCGCGCATCCATAACCCGTCTACAGCTCAAATCTATTGAGGCACGGGTTTGGTGTTTTGCTGGTTTAGATCGGCCACTTGGCTCATTAGTAATGCTGGGGGAATGTGAGAGTCCCAGGCATACACGGGACCCTGCGCTAGGCTCCTGGAAGGGTGCCTATTCCCGTGTTTTAACCCAAGATTTGCATAGAACGTTGATACGAGCTCCAGAGTCCGCTGGTCCAACAGGTTTGTTCCTACCTCCTGCCACGTTGCAGTATAGCTAGAGTACAGAGATATAATTCAGTGTCAGACCATTCCTTGGATGCTCTATTCCCTTTACTCACACATATACTTGAAATAGGAAAAATCGCTTCAAGGCGCAAACCAACAATGCGACTCGGTTTTGTCCTCTCACGTTCTGGTCACTAAACAAGGGTTGCGTGGAGCGGTTTGGTGGAGATATTTATTAATTTAATAACCGAATCCAAAGGTAGACGTC